CGCATTTGCGCCGCGGAATATTCTCGCCAGCTAGGGGGTGCATACGAAGAGTATCACGGTAGTATGTACCCCCCGCAGCTTAATTGATTAGGTTGAGCATACCATGGTTGCGGTATACTTGTAGCGGATTCTCATACTGTCGCATCTCCATAAAGTCTACTTTGCGTTCAAAATATCGAAGTTGTGTCTCTAGCGGCACCGAAGGGTTTAATTTCATGCAAACCGATACATTTCTGTATGCGATATCCTCCAGATCTTGTTCGTGTGTGTGTACAATATAAACATTGGCGTCCTGAGACGACATGGACTGCAATTTTTGTTCGTTCTCCACGATAAAGTCCAATAGCGCCTTGGGTACTCCTTCTATCTGTAAAGCTCTATGTAGGCCCATCTGCATATGAATCGGGTCTAGTTTGTGAAATTTTGCTTTCTTATGCCAATCCAAGATAAACGCATGCAGCTGTATCTTCTGCGGATTATCCAAATAAAAGCTGCCCTGTGGATTAGGTGGCCATTCCTTGGGTGTCCGTTTATCTATCGTTATTGAGCAAGTCTTCAATGTCTCGTTGGATGTGCGAATTAAACCCTGCAACGAACGCGCTTCCTCGGTGCGCCCCTCAGCTTCTGCTTGCATCATACGTTGGGTGAGAAGGAATACCTGCGTTTTCATCTCTGCCGCGGTAGATTCGGTAATACGCGCCTCAGTAGATGGTGATATCTTACATCGTTTCACATCCTACGGGTCTTCTAGGTAGCGATTGTGGTGAACAGGAAAGTGCTTACGGTTTGCAAGCGTATCGATAGGTACATTTGCAATATCTTGACAGTTCTCCTTCCTTTTTTTTGGAGATTGCGGACGACGATGCTGTTGTAATTTGTCTCGGAATAAATTCGCTGCCGCTTGACCGTGAGTAGGCTGTTGGCGTGGAGATTTCATCACTCTGCGAAATGCCTCAAAGGACCGCTTCAAGGTTAACCATGTCCAAATGTAAGTCCGCTGGGTCCAAAAAAATTATACCAGGTGATTTCACCAAAGTTGTCGATTCCTGATATCAATCCGCACCATCAGCCGGCATCTCATCAGGAGTCGGAATTGTCTGGGCTCAATTTTGAGCGTTCTTCAGCAACCGCTCTCTGCGCGTAACATGGACATTCTCGTAAGGAGCCACTTGAGGTACGGGCTTCGTGCGGCCAATCCTGAGTTTCACCGGGCTAATTTGCTTCATGTCGATAGCCCCGCTGTCAGGTGACTGGTCGGTTGGTGTCGACTCTGCCTATGTTGGGTATTGAGGAGCCCAATGATGTTGCACTGTTGGTTCGGCCTCAGTCTCAGAAAATCATCATTCACTGTCGCCTGGGCCGTGTCCTGGGGCATCGATGTGTCAATATCTGCCAGTGACGATTGACGGAGTTGGCGGAGTTGTTCTTGAATGAGGCGACTCTTTTCCTTTGCCTCCTTCGCATGCATCAACGTATTCAAGTGTCCTGCTTGATCCGCAATCCATTTTGGGGCTCGGCTAAGCCTACCCAAGGTTTGGATTGAGTACTGGGCCTCCAACAACAAATGGGTCAATTCCAAATGGATTCCCACCTTCTCGTCGTCTTCGGATGCAGGTTTCTTGGCGCGTACTGTATCCGCCTTATCTCATAGCTCGGTAAATGGCGAATAGTTCTAAGCAACCGTTTCAGCAGCTGGTCACAGGCTTTCTTACCCACCGTTGGCAACGGTCTAGTCTCGGGTCCCGTCATCGTTGTAAAAAAAAAAAGTAAACTAAGTTGCTTCTTAGTTGTTTTATCTTTTAAAGTACATAGTATACAGTAGTTCGGTCACTTAAATATGTTGTCAAAACCAAGTATCACTTAATAAAGAGTGTTAAGTCTGAAATAAGTGAACTCGGACAGAAGTGCCGTTATGAACGGCGCATCTGCTGTATTTATTATCACGTTCCTGTGTGGAACGGGATTTTCTTTTACAATGGTTAATTATGAAAATACCCGTATCTATGGTTTTCGTCTCCTAGTTACTAAATTATGATGACACTATATGAGTCATCTCTATGGTTGTCGTCTCTTAGATACTAAATTATGATGACACCTTCTGAGTCATCAATCTTTCATGTTAAATTCCTCTGTCTCAATATTAGGCCCGGTCCCTCTGAGTGCGGTCCTGAAATATTATACTTAGGTCCGGTCCTCTGGTCCGGTCCTAAAATTGCACCTGTAGGTTGGGCTCGCTGGTCCCGTCCTAAATGTCCGTCCAGGGTACTTTGTCCACAATTTGATAAGGTGACCAAAAATTCCAAGAAAGGTGCGCATGGTAGTAAGCAACGGCACAAATGTATGCAAATCGAGTTATGGTTCAACGCAGCAAAAGCTAGTGATAAGAGTACTCGGAGTACACGGCAAAACACGGCCGTTGCACAAGTAGTAACTGTGGATATGACAGAGAAATTATGTCCTAATCGCGATACAGAGACCAGAGTTCGAGCACTTTGGCATTGCCGTAATGCAATAACAGTTGATAGCGCCAAGAATCTAAAACCAGGCGAGGAAATTCAATACGCAGACATGCCTGATTCGTTTAGTTTACAACACTCAAAACAACTGGATGCTATGATGGCGAGAAAGCGAGAGCGTCGTTGTATTCTCAGGCACAATCAAGATTTTAGACAGAAAACCTCTTAAGACTTCACGTTGCCGATGCAGGTAAAGCGTAATGTAAAATGAACGGATGGTCCTGTTAGACAATAGTTGATGGACATTTTAGTATGTCCCAAACATATGTTTCTGTCCATCGGCTTACCCTTTACTCTTTGGCATATGCCCCACAGGTCTAACTACAGGGAAAGGATTCCATCTTCAAATGGTATTGCAGGTTTAGGATTGCCTAAAGATAATGTGGAAGCAGCTAGGGCCTGTGAAACACTCGCCCAAACAACACTTAATGAATTCGTATGGAGCACTGCAACTATACCATTTGCAGATCTTGGCAAAGACATGCGAGGACACTTGATGAAATGCTACACCACAGCAGATCCCAATCAAAAATGAATTCATGGAGTCGCCTGGTGTATCAGCCGCCAAGTCCGAGTCTAGATCGATGAAATTTCCTAATTCTGCATCTACAGCACTTGCGGGCGCATCCTCATGTGAGTCCGATTCGTTGTCCTGGCGCTGCTGAAGCTTACGTAAAAAAAGCGAAATATCCAGCTCTATTGTGATTAACTAATTGCTCCCACTAGATACTACCATCAGGGAGGTAGCAACAATATGCATAAGACAATGTAAGATCCTCCGTAAACCCCATCTCTTCACCAAGACATAATTCCAACCCCATATTCAAACAGTCGTAAGGTAGCTTAGTGTATAGGTACTGACACTCACGACTAAGCCACGCTTTAAGACTTCCGAATGCGAGTTCAATCGGATTTAAATACGGGGAATAAGGGGGGAGAAACAAACACATCGCACCAACTGTCATAATAAGACTCACTATATAAGCTCGATGAATTCGAGCGTGATCTAATATAGCTATTGAATTCGGTGGTGGCCACGGATTTAGAGTAGAAAGTATATAGTCTTTAAACTGCTGATAACATGTGCGCGCGTCGTAGGTACCTGAAGTCATACCCCAGCCGCAGATTAAGGGCCGCGAGAATACTTGCACATACTCCCCGTTCAAACGGGATGACTGAAAATAATTTTGTATTCTTCAGTCCCTGCCTCGCTTCCTAAACGTCGAAAGGGCATCTCTAGAAGCCTTGTCGACAAAGACCGGTGGGCCGTGTGTGTGCATCTGTGTGATTGTGTGTATGTTTACGTATATATGTATACATATGTGCTCACATACGGCATGTGTGGGTGGGTGGATGGGCCGTGTGTGTGCGTATGTGTGATTGTGTGTATGTTTACGTATATATGTTTACATGTGTGCTCACATACGGCATGTGTGGGTGGGTGGGTGGGCCGTGTGTGTGCGTCTGTATGATTGTGTGTATGTTTACATATATATGTTTACCTATGTGCTCACATACAGCATGTATGGGTGGGTGGGTGGGCCGTATGTGTGCGTGTCTGTGTGATTGTGTGTATGTTTACATATATATGTTTACACATGTGCTCACATACGGCATGTGTGGGTGGGTGGGTGGGCCGGGTGTGTGCGTCTGTGTGATTGTGTGTATGTTTACATATATATGTTTACATATATATGTTTACATATGTGCTCACGTACGGCATGTGTGGATGGGTGGGTGGGCCGAGTGTGGACAAAGTACCGTAGACGGAGATTTAGGACCGAACCAGAGGACCGGACTGACAAGAGGAATTTAGGACCGGACCAGAGGACCGGACCTAAGGGAAATTTTTATTGAGGAACGGACCCGATGACCGGACTAGATAGTAGAATAGATAATTTAGTGAGAGAGAATGATGACTCATCGGATGTCATCATTATTTAGTAACTAGGAGGCCATAATCTTAGATACGGAGATTTTCACAATCTTCCGTTGTTAGAGAAAATATCGTTCCACATAAGAACGTGATTAATAAATACAGCAGACGCGCCGTTCACAACGGCACTTCTGACTGAGTTCACTTATTTCAGACTTAACACTTTTGACTAAGCGCAACTCTGTTTTGACTACATTTTCAAGTGACCGAACTACTGTATTTATTATACTACGTTCTTGAAAGGTTAAATCTACTAAGAAGCAACTTAGTTTACGATGACGGGACCCAAGACTAGACCGATGCCTATGGTGGGTAAGCAAGCCTGTGACCGGCTGCTGAGTCGGTTGATTGGAACTCTTCGTCGTCTAACTGTGATACATATGCAATAAGGTGAAGGCAGCACTTGCCAAGAAACCTGCACCCGAAGACGATTAGAAAGTGGAAATCCATGAGGAATTGACCCGTTTACTTTCGGAGGCTCAATCCTCAATTGAAACCTTAGACAGTCCCCAGACTGGATTCATGATCAGGAAGGACACTTGAATGCGATGATGCATATGCAGGAGGCCACTGAAAATATTCTTCTCTTTCAAGAGCAACTCCACCAACTCCGTGAATTGTCACTGGCGGATATTGACACGTCTACACCCCAGGACTCGGACCAGGCGACAGATGATGAGCATTTTTCTGAGACTCAAGCCGCACCAACAGTGCAACAACATTGGGCTCCTCAATACCCAACGCAGGCAGGGTTGACACCCACCATCCAGTTACTTGACAACGGGGCTAACAACATGGAACAAATTAGCCTGGTGAAACGTATAATTGGACGTACGAAGCCTGTACCTCAGGTGGCTCCTTACGACAATGTTCATGTTACTCGCAGAGAGCGATTGTTGAAGAACGCTCAAAATCGGGCACAAACAATTCCGACCCCTGATGAGACGCCGCCTAATGGTCCGGATTGGTATCGGTGGAATCCCCTGGTAGAATATTTTTTGGAACCTGCGGATTTACACTTGGACATGGACACTCCTCGGAATTTATCGTCGTCGGCAAAACGCTCCTTTGATGTCTTCCGCAGAGTGATGAAGTCCCCGCAGCAACAGATGAACCAGGGTCACGTGATAAGTTGCAACGTCACCGGAGCCCACGTTCACCCGAAGAGGTACAGGAGAATTATCAGGATGCGGCGAATGTCTCTATTGATACAATTGCATACCGCAGACACTTTCCTGTTCTTCACGACCGCTACTTGGAAGACCCACAGGCGGTACTGTATCGACAGCGGCCGAGATGAAGATGCAAGTTATTCAACTGACCCAACGGATGATGCATGCAGAAGCAGACGGACGCATAGACGATGCGCGTGCATTACAGGGTCTAATTCCTGCTTCGAATGAGACCCTGAAGACGTGTTCAATAACGGTCGACAAACGGACACCGAAAGAATGACTGCCCAACCCAAAGGGCAACTATTATTTGGACAATCGGCAGAAGATACAGCTACACGCTTTTATATTGGACTGGCATAAGAATGCGCGATTCCACAAGCTAGAACCAAATCACATGCAAATGAGTTTACACCGAGCTCTACAGCATGAAGGGGCTTCTATGACGTTATTGGATTTTATTGTGGAAAACGAGCAAAATTTACAGTCTCTGACATTTGAGGATGCCACTGCTTTTATTGTACGTACACAAGAACAAGACCTGGAGGATAACGCATACCGCCGGGTGATAGCGTGTATGAAGCTGAAGACATCGGTACCGCTTGATACTCAGGTTCGTGATTTTGAACGCAAGGTGGAGTTCATGGAAATGCGACAGTATGAAAACCCCCTACAGGTATACCGCAACCATTGTATACTTAATATTATACGCCAAGCTGCAGGTGGGGCGTATTACCGGTATACTCTTCGAATGCATCCACAGTGGCGAAACTACTCATCTGAGAATATGCGTAATACATTCCGTGTGAACATTGACAAAGCAGAAGAATATCGCCAGGACGGAACTCGCGATCACGTTCAAATTTGCGTACGGAAGTGAATACACGCGCTAACCCGCATGCACCGCCTACGTTGAACCCACGGGTTCGTTGTCGATCATATGAGCAAAACATTCCGCCGGGACCAGGACATGCAAGTCGTTTTCCTAACTTACAACGAGTACCGGTCCAGGCTAACACAAGTAACCGCACACAAAATGGTGGTCTGCAAGCACATCGACACGCGGAACTCATCGATCGAGTACTAATTTCCGGCCTCGTGTTAACTTAGTGGACGGTGATATTATGCCTGATCAACCAACCACCGAGACGGGGGAGAATGAGGTGATGCACATTCATGACTTGGTCGGTGAGTCGTATGTGCAGAGTGGCGATGAGTTGATGGAAGAAGAGCAGACACCCGATGGTTGGGAAGTTGAAACAGATTCGGATTGGCAGGCTGGGGTGCCTGATGTGAATATGTGCATGTCCTTTGATCACACGGCAACAAGAATATTTGCAGTTAAAGATAAATTGTTTCCTACTGACAACCGTATATATATGTTACTTTACAAGTGAACGGACATGACATGCGCACCCCTATTGACACGGGGGTCAACCGGTCAGTCATCACTCAGGCATTCGCAGCTAAGGCAGACCTTTCTATTACACCACCGGCCAAGGATAGTTACATATATTTTACGGACAAAGCCTTCAGGACTCCACGTTTGGGCATAACACAAGCAACAAAAGTCCAGTACGGGCAGGCTGCTACTGAGGGTTGTACGTTTGAACTTATGAACCTACCGGATAACATTGATATAATACTGGGTATGGATATTATGGGTGAGTTGGAATTAGGCTTAACCGGATTAGTATCTCCATTTCCAGAAATTAATCGTAATGTTATGCATGAACTACTGGAACCGATCAATCTTTGAATGGCCCCAGACTGGTCCGAGCCAGATGATATACGCGAACGCTTACGCCAATACCTGGATGCTAATGACACTATTCTGGATGCAGCTCGCTGGACACTCCCGGGTAGTGAGGTGTCACTCCTCATTCCTCGAGATATACACCTGGGCCTACGTCGGCAGACAAGAATTTTTTTATCTGACAAGTACAAACCACATGTAACGAAGCAAGTACACAAATGGGAACACTGAGTTTGTCACCAATCGTCGAACATCTGCGTCGATTGTTAACCTTCCTTTGTTGGCAGTACCATCGTTTACACCGTCGGGTGAACTTATTAAGGTGC